GCAAAGAAAACACTATTTCAAGTTTGAATGTAAATTTTTTTAATATATTCAATTATTTTTTAATGAATATATAACTTATAACTGCATATTTATTTTTGATATATATTTTTTGGGTTATGTCTGCGAAATGTCACCGTCGGAGTGTGAACTTTCATCTGCTTCATCAGTCGCAACTCTTGGGTAACTATGACCACTTTTTCGTACAGACACTTCTTGATATAATATGGAATTTGAAATTGTTGCAAGGTCGTGCAAAGTCTGGTTTACGCAGTATCTAAAAGGGGGAATCATGGAGTCTCAAAAAACTTTAAGAAAAGTACATGATAGTACAGTGATTAGATCAGAGGTGGGCAATTTTTGCTCGCGAGCAACGCCAGCATCACAGTTCGTATACGTACACAGAAGCAAAGCAGCGAATTTCGATCAGTCTGCTTGCAGATTTCACCAATGTAACATAATGCTCGGCTGTGGATTGTTTTTCCTCGTAATTATAGCACGCGCTTGCCACATTTTGTGTAAGAAATTTACAAAGAATCCCCAAAGTAAAAAGTGATGTGTTTTTCTTAGATTGGCGTTTGCATGCATTTGCGACGATTCAAACACAAAATAGTGCGACCCTATACAAGAACTGGAGCTTATTGTTCAAAGAACTTTCAACAAGCCGCAATATCCGTTATGCGGTTATGCCTACGTATTTTTAATATAAGCAAACTGTATTTTTTATGCCGTGTCAATTTAAAAAAATATAAAATACCCTGCTTGCTGACCAACGTTCAATAATTTTGTAATAAATAAGTCCCATGATTTTTACAAAAAAGTGTACAAATTGCATGTCATATTTTAGAATAATTTGTTTCGATATAGAAGTTTAAATGCTGGTTTATACCCAAAAATATTTAATGAATAATATTTATAAGTTAAACTCTATTTTTAGGGGTAAATTCCTATTTATATGAAGATAATAAAATCTAAACACCGAAATAATCTGGCCGGCCAGCATTTCAAAGATAAGATTCCAATAAAATTGTGTGCAGGTATTAAACAAATGGGTTAAATCTATTTAAATTTTTTTACAATTTTAGAAGTATTAAATTTTCGTATGGAAAAGTTTCTATAAACTAATAGTATTCTATAATTCTTGGGTTTTAGTACATTTATAAAAACGTGGCAACCATAACTGAGCGCGGCGCACTATTGCCACGACAAAATGAGACTGTGTTGGTGTGCACAGCATTGGTTTAGATTGTCCAAAAAGTTCGACTTTGTTCAAATTTTTTTTACGTAAAACGCCTAATTTTGACACATTACTCTAGCTACGTCCCTCATCACATATTAATTGTTTTTATTTCGTAAAAGAAAACATCGTTTTCTATGCCAAATACATTCTTTTCAGCGTTCTGGCACACCACTGTGATAAAGAACACACCACTTTTTAAAAATGTCTATTTGATTGGTGTAATTTTTAGAAAACAAAGTTTCAAAACATCAAATTTGACCTACAAAAAAACTACTAAAGTGGGCTATAAAACACCAAAGAATAATTTTTTCTACGTAATTGGACATTTCTTAGCAAGTTGGAGTCATCAAAACATCAAAATTCCACTTTGTCGCCAATTGGCCCATTGTGCGTCAGCCTTCTTTTTAAATAATTTAAGCTCCATCATATTATCGCAACTGGTACGTAACGACCCGGCGCTATGCCCATAAAACGATTGAACGGGGCACCGAAATTGCGCATATGGAAACTGCATTTACACATTATTTCGGTTTCAACCGAAACTGTGCATATATGCTTTATTTCGGTTTTTGCCATATGCATTATTTCGGCTTTCAACCGTAACGGGGCACCGAAATTGCGCAAGTGGAAACCGTGCATTTACACATTATTTCGGTTTCAACCGAAACTGTGCACGTATGCTTTATTTCGGTTTTCGCCATATGCATTATTTCGGTTTCACCGAAACTGTGCATGCATGCATTATTTCGGTTTTTGTTATCATCACAGAAAGGAGAATTCTACTTAGTAAGGGTTGTAATTCCTAAACGCGGCCGAAAGCCGCCTACGCAGAAAGAAGTTCTGCGCAAAAATACTTCCGGTCCCCTTTTCCGGCAACACAGAAAGGAGAATTCTACTTAGTAAGGGTTATAAATCCTAAGCGCGGCCGAAGGGCGCCTACGCAGAAAGAACTTCTGCGCAAAAATACTTCCGGTCACCTTTTCCGGCAACACAGAAAGGAGAATTCTACTTAGTAAGCACGGCCGAAGGCCGCCTACGCAGTGAGTTCTGTGAAAAAATACTTCCGTCCCCTCTTTTTCGGCAACACACAAAGGAGAATTCTAGTAATGGTTATAATCCCTAACCGCGGCCAAATGCCGCCTACGCAGAAAGAAGTTCTGTGCAAAAATACTTCCGCCCTTCTTTTCCGACAACACGGAAAGGAGAGTTCTACTTAGTAAGGGTTATAATTCCTAAGCGCGGCCGAAGAANAACTACTAAAGTGGGCTATAAAACACCAAAGAATAATTTTTTCTACGTAATTGGACATTTCTTAGCAAGTTGGAGTCATCAAAACATCAAAATTCCACTTTGTCGCCAATTGGCCCATTGTGCGTCAGCCTTCTTTTTAAATAATTTAAGCTCCATCATATTATCGCAACTGGTACGTAACGACCCGGCGCTATGCCCATAAAACGATTGAACGGGGCACCGAAATTGCGCATATGGAAACTGCATTTACACATTATTTCGGTTTCAACCGAAACTGTGCATATATGCTTTATTTCGGTTTTTGCCATATGCATTATTTCGGCTTTCAACCGTAACGGGGCACCGAAATTGCGCATATGGAAACTGCATTTACACATTATTTCGGTTTCAACCGAAACTGTGCATATATGCTTTATTTCGGTTTTTGCCATATGCATTATTTCGGCTTTCAACCGTAACGGGGCACCGAAATTGCGCAAGTGGAAACCGTGCATTTACACATTATTTCGGTTTCAACCGAAACTGTGCACGTATGCTTTATTTCGGTTTTCGCCATATGCATTATTTCGGCTTTCAACCGTAACGGGGCACCGAAATTGCGCAAGTGGAAACCGTGCATTTACACATTATTTCGGTTTCAACCGAAACTGTGCACGTATGCTTTATTTCGGTTTTCGCCATATGCATTATTTCGGTTTCACCGAAACTGTGCATGCATGCATTATTTCGGTTTTTGTTATCATCACAGAAAGGAGAATTCTACTTAGTAAGGGTTGTAATTCCTAAACGCGGCCGAAAGCCGCCTACGCAGAAAGAAGTTCTGCGCAAAAATACTTCCGGTCCCCTTTTCCGGCAACACAGAAAGGAGAATTCTACTTAGTAAGGGTTATAAATCCTAAGCGCGGCCGAAGGGCGCCTACGCAGAAAGAACTTCTGCGCAAAAATACTTCCGGTCACCTTTTCCGGCAACACAGAAAGGAGAATTCTACTTAGTAAGCACGGCCGAAGGCCGCCTACGCAGTGAGTTCTGTGAAAAAATACTTCCGTCCCCTCTTTTTCGGCAACACACAAAGGAGAATTCTAGTAATGGTTATAATCCCTAACCGCGGCCAAATGCCGCCTACGCAGAAAGAAGTTCTGTGCAAAAATACTTCCGCCCTTCTTTTCCGACAACACGGAAAGGAGAGTTCTACTTAGTAAGGGTTATAATTCCTAAGCGCGGCCGAAGAACGCCTACGCAGAAAGAACTTCTGCGCAAAAATACTTCCGGTCACCTTTTCCGGCAACACAGAAAGGAGAATTCTACTTAGTAAGCACGGCCGAAGGCCGCCTACGCAGTGAGTTCTGTGCAAAAATACTTCCGTCCCCTCTTTCTCGGCAACATACAAAGGAGAATTCTAGTAATGGTTATAATCCCTAACCGCGGCCAAATGCCGCCTACGCAGAAATAAGTTCTGTGCAAAAATACTTCCGCCCTTCTATTCCGGCAACACGGAAAGGAGAGTTCTACTTAGTAAGGGTTATAATCTCTAAGCGCGGCCGAAGGCCGCCTGCGCAGAAAGAAGCTCGTTTCCATGTATGCATTATTTCGGTTTTGAGTCGAAACTGTGCAGTAGTGCGATTCGGTAACCTTTTTAACGACATTCGCAGTGGCTAATTTAGCTAAACGATAATTTTAAAGATTTTGCTATTCAATAAGTACTTTCTTATCGATATTCGATAAGTGAAAATCAGCTGTTTCGTTAACGATTCGTTTATGGTTAAGTTATCGACATCTCATTTGGTGTTGTTAAGTTTGTGTTAACCAAACGAATTTGCGCGCAAGTAAATCCAAGTGAATTTATATAAAAGAAATGGCGTTTGAATATGTGGCGTATAGTTTACACCGAAACTATGGAGTCAGAAATACACCCACAGTGGATCGGCGTTTGCTCCGGGACATTCACGATCCATTTGAGCTGGCGCCTTTCGAGTTCCGGAAGCTATATCGTGTGGGCCCAGAGACCGCAATGGAGCTCATCCAATTGAAAGGTAAAAGGATTACCTCAATATCGGGGGAAAAACTNAATCTTCAAATAATGAGAGCATGCAATTTTGGATATGTAGTATGTATACAATAATTTCCTGGGTACGGTTTAGTTATCTGTACAATGATGCCCAAACGCGTGACTCGAATCTAAAAAGTTTAACATACGCGTGTATTCCAAGGATTAAACTTTAATTTAAAACAAAGATTTCAAATTTCCAAGCACTAGTTTATTAATAAAACCGGTTTTAATTATGGACTTTTTTGTAAGTTTCGATGTGGCTTCCATGTTGAAATGCTAATGGGGTGAACCCATTTTCAAATGGGCCCCCTGTAGTCTGTAGAGGGGTCAGAGAGGGGAGTTTTGGCTGTGCTCTTTTTAACGGGTATGGTTTTAGGTGTCACACCCTCTCCCCCTCCGCTCCGCACCACAAAATCATTGTACAAATAACTAAACATTTCCCAAATAATCTTTTATCTTTGAAGGTTTTGTGTACACTACGCTTCTATGCCACAGGATGCTACCAACGGCCTGTAGGGGAACAGTGGGGCATATCAATGAGCCAATCATCTATAAGCCGTTGTATACATCGCGTAACTGATGCCATAAACAGTGGACTATTTTTTGAGGAGGTTAAGTTCCCTATGACGCAGGTGGACCGTCAAGCTGCCAAGGAAGTGTTTGCTTCAGCACCTGCGCCTTTCGTTGGAGGAACTATTGGAGCGGTAGACTGCACGCATGTTTCTATTTTGGGTCCTAAAACTCATGAGGAAGCATACGTGAACCATCATGGCTATCACTCGATAAATGTTCAAATGGTGAGCTAAGTATTTTGGTATTTTTTTTTTTTAAATTGATTCTTTTTTCATTCGTTATATGGAAGAAAATGCTGAACACCCTCGAAAAAAAAAATCTCAAATATGAACGGTATTTTGTAGCGACATCAAACTTGAATTTTACCCTACTGAAATTGAATGGAATACAAAACTACATACTCGAAAATTTTCTAAAGATTCTGAATAAAGAGTTTGAAATTTTGATGAACGTTTTTTTAAGTTTGATAAATTTCTGTGAACATTGTACAAAGTTAACAAGATTGATTCCTAAGGTTTTTTTATAGAATGAGGTATGTTTTGAATACAAATTTGCAAAAATAGTTCAATATTCAAAATATTTTTAATATTATGAAAAACTATAATACGAATACTTCTGTGAGTGACTGTATACACTATAACCGTATAAAGCAAAAATTTAAATATATTTGAAAACATTTGAATTTTATATAACTTCCTAGTCTAAAAAGCACTTTGAAGCTATTATATTTTTTATCAAAGAACAGTAGGTGGTCTATCAATAACGACCGAAGACAAAATAGTGTATGTATTTTTGGTATATTAATTATGGAATTGGTTATTGCAAAACACACAATTTTTATAAGATATTAATGAAAAAGTTGTAGCTTCATACATTTTTTTACATACAGTGTTTTGTCTTCGGTCGTTATTGACAGACCACCTACTGTTCTTTGATAAAAATATAATAGCTTCGAAGTGCTTTTTAGAAGAATTTAGTTTTAAGTTGAAAACTAGTTTAAATTAAATAACAGTTTAAATTGAATAATAGTTTTTATGTGTAGTTTATAGTATTTCACTTAAGTTCGGCTTTTAGAAAATAAATGAATAGAAAAAAGTATTAAATGCAACGAAATGTTCAAAATTTTAATTTAAAAGGCGAATGTGTAATTAAGGTAAATAAATTTAATTTTCATAACAACTATGTCATATTCATAACAAAAACATTTCCAATTTATTTCATAAAATATATATTTTTTAAACTAAAGGTACATATTCCAGTCAGGTACAAAACAAGGTACAAAATAAATAATTTAAAACATAAAAGGAAAAAATAAGTAATTCGTTTTGAAAATTAAAAGAAAAACTATAAAATAACTCTTGTATGATATGTAAACTTAACAGCAAAAGTCTGCATACACCATTCATTTTTTAAATATTCGCAATATTTTGGAAGATAAAATTCGTTTATTTTTTTATTATAAAAATATGGATCATCCTTAAAACAAAATCATACAAAGCAAAGTTTCAAGGTTTATACAAAATTAAGGAAAGTTCAACGATTTTTAATCAACACTTAAATTTTAGTATAACAATGTGTAAAAATGAGGTTGCTACGAAATCGCGTTGATTTTTAATTTAATGCGCTATAAAACTGCGTACTTGAAGTTATTTTTATAAAATGTGATTAAAAAGTTGAAAGTGTCGATTAAAAACCGTTGAATTTTCCTTAATTTTGTTAATTAATTTTAATTTTAATTAATTTTTGGGAGCTGATTGCAAAAATACCATATTTCAAACCTAAATTATAGATAAATTAATGCACAGCTATGGTAAACCTTTTGCTTAAATAAAGTGTATACTCTTGTCTATAAGTGTGTGTAAACGTTTTTTGGTTCGTCTCACACGTTTGGGCACAGCAACCCAAAGTCGTTGCACAAATAACTCAACCGTACCCAATATGTTAAAAATGAATTTGAAAACTAAAGATTACTTTTCCGAATTAACCAACAATCTGATTCTTCATTTGCACATTTTAATTAAAAAATTGTACTTCATGTATGTACATATATATTATACTAATTGTTTTTTTATCGCACTCTCGAAAACTGCTTCCTATATACACACACTTAAAACACAAGATAAGTACTTACCGAATGCCATTGATCCACTGACTTTACAGCTCCTCCTATAGCGTTGAGCTTTTGTGCCATTTCCGCCCACTTCTTTTGATACTCCAGCTTTCCTTGGAGACGCTGGAACTTTCCGGACGCAAGCCCTTCGTTCTCCGTGAGAAGGTCGATCATCACGTTGAGCTGCTCCGCTGATGCCCGACTCCTTTTAGCTCCTGCTCCACTGGTAGACGCCATTCTGAAATTATAAATAAGAACAAAGTAAATTCTTATACATTTTAATTAAATAAATAGCAAAATGTACTACCCTTTTCTGCAATATGTGGACGCAAATTAGCGGCTCGAAGAAATGGCTTTGTTTTTTTTCTGTTCCGCTTTGTGCTTTTCGCAAATTTGACATTTCGAACAGCGGAGATGCCACTTTTTATCAATTTGAATTAATGGAAAAAGTCAGCTGGCTGTTCATTGTCGTTAGGAATGAGTTAGTGAATCGCATAATCGTTATTGACAACGATAAAAATCTTTAATTAACAACTCAACAAATGAATCGTTAAGAGTTACCGAATCGNATAAATTAATGCACAGCTATGGTAAACCTTTTGCTTAAATAAAGTGTATAGTCTTGTATATAAGTGTGTGTAAACGTTTTTTGGTTCGTCTCACACGTTTGGGCACAGCAACCCAAAGTCGTTGCACAAATAACTCAACCGTACCCAATATGTTAAAAATGAATTTGAAAACTAAAGATTACTTTTCCGAATTAACCAACAACCTGATTCTTCATTTGCACATTTTAATTAAAAAATTGTACTTCATGTATGTACATATATATTATACTAATTGTTTTTTTATCGCACTCTCGAAAACTGCTTCCTATATACACACACTTAAAACACAAGATAAGTACTTACCGAATGCCATTGATCCACTGACTTTACAGCTCCTCCTATAGCGTTGAGCTTTTGTGCCATTTCCGCCCACTTCTTTTGATACTCCAGCTTTCCTTGGAGACGCTGGAACTTTCCGGACGCAAGCCCTTCGTTCTCCGTGAGAAGGTCGATCATCACGTTGAGCTGCTCCGCTGATGCCCGACTCCTTTTAGCTCCTGCTCCACTGGTAGACGCCATTCTGAAATTATAAATAAGAACAAAGTAAATTCTTATACATATTAATTAAATAAATAGCAAAATGTACTCCCCTTTTCTGCAATATGTGGACGCAAATTAGCGGCGCGAAGAAATGGCTTTGTTTTTTTTCTGTTCCGCTTTGTGCTTTTCCCAAATTTGACATTTCGAACAGCGGAGATGCCACTTTTTATCAATTTGAATTAATGGAAAAAGTCAGCTGGCTGTTCATTGTCGTTAGGAATGAGTTAGTGAATCGCATAATCGTTATTGACAACGATAAAAATCTTTAATTAACAACTCAACAAATGCATCGTTAAGAGTTACCGAATCGCACTACAGGTATGCATTACTTTGGTTTTTGTCATATGCATTATTTCGGTTTTGAACCGAAACTGTGCATGTATGCATTATTTTTCCCATATGCGTTATTTTGGTTTTCAAACGAAAGTGTGCATATATGCATTATTTCAGTTTATTCATATGCATTATTTCGGTTTTCAACCAAAAATATGCATTTGTGCATTATTTCCGGTTTTTTCGTATTCATTATTTCGGTTTTTTTCATATGCATTATTTCGTATGCACAGTTTCCATATGCACAATTTCAGGGTGCCATTTGAACTTTTTGTTGTATTAATTTCTTTGGCATATGAAACATTCTGAAACATATCAATTATAATTAAATTATTTTCTTCTTACTTTTTACATTACGGTTTAAGGAAGTTCCACCATTATGTAAAAAACCTTAAGAAAATGCTAAAGTATTTTGTTTGAATTGAAAATTCAGTACAAATCAGTACACATTGTTAAAAATCAGGACATTAGTTAGAGTACTGATTGAAGAAATGAATAAAATCAGTACAAGAGTTGAAAAATCAGTCCTGTACTGATAAAAACAGTACGTCTGGCAACCGTAATAAAAGCGGTAGCATATCTTCAGTGGGGAACTACCGGGGAATAGCTAACCTTTCTGTAATTCCTAAATTATTTGAAGCAATTATAACAAATCAGTTGACGCATTCTATCCCTTCTAGCATTTCATACAGTCAACATGGATTTTGCAAGGGCAAATCAACTTCTACAAATTTACTTGAATAAACATATTTTATCTCAAAAGCATTTAGTGAAAGCAAAACTGTTGATGTTATATATACTGGCTTCAGTAAAGCATTTGACAAAGTGTGCCACTCGTTCTTCTTCTCATCTTATTTGGCACTGTAACCGCCTAAGCGATTTTGGCCGAGTTCAACAAAGCACGTCAGTCGTTTCTTTTCTGTGCCAACTGACGCCAATTAGAAATGCCAAGTGAAGCCAAGTCCTTCTCCACCTGGTCTTTCCATCGCAGTGGGGCCTCCCTCTTCCTCTGCTACCACCAGCGGGTTCCGAGTTGAATACTTTTAGAGCTAGAACGTCAGTGTCCATTCGAACGACATGGCCAAGCCAGCGGAGCCGCTGTATTTTAATTCGCTGCACTATGTCCACGTCGTTGTAAAGCTCATACAGCTCATCGTTCCATCGTCTGTGGTACTCGCCGTCGCCAACGTGTAAAGGCCCGTAAATCTTCCGCAAAATCTCTCTCGAATACTTCTAGAGTCGCCTCATCAGATGTTGTCATTGTCCATGCTTCTGCGCCATATACCAGGACGGGCATGATGAGTGACTTTTAGAGTGTGGTTTTCGTACGTCGAGAGAGGCCTTTACTCCTGAATTATCTACTCAGTCCAAAGTAGCACTTGTTGGCAAGAGTGACTANCATATTTTATCTCAAAAGCATTTAGTGAAAGCAAAACTGTTGATGTTATATATACTGGCTTCAGTAAAGCATTTGACAAAGTGTGCCACTCGTTCTTCTTCTCATCTTATTTGGCACTGTAACCGCCTAAGCGATTTTGGCCGAGTTCAACAAAGCACGTCAGTCGTTTCTTTTCTGTGCCAACTGACGCCAATTAGAAATGCCAAGTGAAGCCAAGTCCTTCTCCACCTGGTC